GGCTGTTCCTGCTAACTCACTGAACCGAACACTTAGACAGGGTCAATTTTACTGTCTGTAAATTATAACTTAATTAACCTGACAGAAGAAAACCGAGTTCCCTTGGTGACTCTAATGTTCTGTGCAGGCTGAACAATGTGTTCAAACTTTAGAACACTGAAATCACCTGGAGGTTTTGGGAGAGGTTTTTACTTTTTTTTTTCCTTAGGTGTTTACTGACACCAACCACATCTCTAATTCTGTGATTCTCTTACACCAACTGGGTGTCCATCAATTCAATTCAGTTCTAATATTATCTGTACTTAGTGGAGACCCCACAGTTTAAAGACTCAGTCTCACAGGACTGCCCATACTTCAGATGCCAGCTACCCATGGGGTGCCCAGGCTACCTTCCTTTCTGCCCTGCCAACCACAAACTTAAGGGTTCTTAGGTCACCCCCCCTCAGGTTTGATAATTTGCTGGAATGACTCACAGAACTCAGGAAAGTACTTACTATTTCTAGGGTATTATAAAGATACAACCCAGGAGCAGTCAAGTGGAAGAGCTGACAGTGCAGGGTGAGGGGAGGGCACAGAGCTTCAATGTCTGCTCCAGTGCACCGTCGTCCCTGGACCTCGATGTGTTCCCCAACCTGGAAGTTCTCTGAACTTCATTGTTTTGGGGTTTTTGTATCAGTTTTCATTACATAGCCATGATTGAATAAATCATTGCCCATTGGTAATAAACTCAATCTCTAGGCCCTTTCCTCTCTCTAGAGGTGGTGGGGAGAGTTAGCCAAAAGTTTTAACCCTCTAATCACATGGTTGGTTCTTCTCCTGCCAGTCCCCATCCTAAAGCTATCCTAGGGCTGCCAATTGTCACCTCATTGCCTATCTGAGGCACAAACTCAGATATGGTTGAAAGGGGCTCATTGTGAATAACGAGACACTCACATCACTCAGAATTCCAAGGGTTTTAGGAGCTCTGCACTAGGAACCTAGGGCAAAGATCAAATATAGCCATCTGTAGGGTCCAGTCCCATAGGGTCTAGTGAGTCTCTCCATGCTATCGTGGTGACAAGAAATTAGAAGTAAAGACACAATATACACCGAGATAGAGAAAAGAGAGTTTGGGCCCAGGGGTCCACTGCTACCCAAAGCTCAGAGACCAGCAGTGGCCCGGAGTGCCTGGACACTCTGACTTTTATTGAGTACAAAACGCAGGGGGAAAGGCAGGTAGGATGAGGTAATGGTTGTCAGTGGTAGGATCAGGTAAATCACTTGTCTTGGAGATGGGGGCCCAAGACTTTGAAGAAGCCCAGGCGAGGAGAAAACCTAAGGCATCAGCACTTTTTCATACTTGTCAAGAAATAACAAGGTCACTATGATTTAGGTTACCATTACTAATTCTTAGCTTCTAAGGAAAAGAGGAACCGGGTGCAGAAGCAGAACTGGAAAGTAGACATGGAGCGTGACCGCTGAAGCACAGCACCACACAGAGACAATTAAGCCCCTGGATGTCTGTGGGTGTCCCTGACAGCTGTCAGGCTTGCCACAAGAGCTTGGGAAAGTGGAGTTTTCTCCTTACTCCTCCAGGGAAGGAGACGTCTCGGCCATCTTGGATGTGTGCTTCCCTAGCTGGCTAAACAGCAGGCGTTTTCACAGCGCTGACATTGTCACACAGCCAAGGCATCCTCCAGCAGCCCTTCTGCGGGCGTGACAGAGGACTTAGAGCATCTCACCTTAGGGCCACCTCTTTTCCAATGCCACTTCAGTCCCATACTTCTTAACCTGAGACTAATTAGTAAGATTAAATATTCTATGATTATATATGTGTATATATTTGTGATTACATATGAATAGCTATGTGATTACATATGATTATATGTAGGAATAACTATGTAACTATATTTCTAATTATTTTCTAATTCTAAGTTTATATGAGAACATGATGAGGCTTCAGGTCCTTGCCTCAGCTCTTTCGGGGTTTCCCCCTTACAGTCATCTCTTGGTTTCCTCAGGGGATTGGTTCCAGCCCCTCCCTGAGAAGCCCAGTGGACTCCAAAATTTGAGAATGCTCAAGTCCCTTGTATGAAAGAACAGTATTTGCATATGACCTATGCACACTCCGCTGTATGCTGTACTTTAATCATCTTTAAATTACAATATGAATTCTATGTAAATGGTTGTTATACTATATTTTTAGAATGTATATTTTTTTAACTGTTGTATTGTTATTTTGGTGTTTGTTTCTCCCCTCAAAGTAAGGCCAGGGCTGAGGCCTCCTGTTGGAGAAGCAGAATCTTTTCCTCCTGGGCCTCTGCTGGTTTGGTGGACGGGTTTGAGCAGCACTGTTGATGGGTTTGTTACAGGTTCCCTGCATTCTGCTTCTAGGAGATCCTTGTGCTACCTGGCCTGTGTAGCTCCTTCATTCCATTTCTCAGCGTTGAACATCCTGTTTAGGTCAACATTACCTTGAATTTTCCCTTCAACTCAATTTTACTTTGAGTTTTGATTAATTTGTGTGTGTGTTTGTGTGTGTGTGTATGTGTGTGTGTGTAGTCATTTATCACCTGAATTCTGCCTTACTGTTTCACAAGTCTTTCTTTACAGAGCCATACCCACTCAGATCTGCAAAAGCCCACCTTTCCCCAGACACTCCAGGAATTGGCTCCACAAGTTTTCTGCATCTGTAAGTTCAGCTCCCTGTCCCAGATCAGGCTGAATATCCCCAAATCCACTCTGACTTTTGAGGAATGGGTGCTGGTGCGGTAAGAAAAGCGAGTTTTGAAACCCTCACTTGCCCCGCTTTTCTCTCACTTTCCACATTGGCCCACTGCCTTCACGCCACCCATCGGCTGCCCAGACCCCCCTGGGATTGGACAATACAGGATGAACGTGTCAACCCAGCAAAGGCCTCAACGTCCTGGAGCCCCCACTCTTCCCCTGGTTCTGATTGGCCCTGAACACGAGCGGAGCCAAAGAGGTTTAAGTAAGAAATACATTTAGGGAAGATAAAGTTTTAGGCAGTCTAGTGAGGTGATGAGGAGCATTTGCTTAGGAGTCAGATGGCCCTGAGTTTGAATTCTGATTTGCCTTTTGCTAGTTATATGATTTGGGGCAAGTACTTGCCTCAGTTTCTACTGATGATCCCAACCTCCTATGGGGTCAGCACGGTACAGTAGTTAGACACATGGATTCTGGTGCCACACTGCCTGGATTTTAATGCTGGCCTGTCATTTAGTCGCTGCAGCCACAACCTCCTGGGCTTAAGCAAGCCTCCCTCCTCAGCCTCCTGAGTAGCTGGGAGTATAGGTGCACACGACCATGTCTAGCTAGGTTTTTTTTGGTTGTCGTTTTTTGTTTTCTGTTTTTTGTAGAGGCGGGGTCTCATGAGCAAATGACTTAACCACTGTGTCTCAAGTGGGGGTGTTAACAGTAGATGCTTCATGTGAAATAGCGGTATTTCTTATTTGAGTCTTCTAAATATTTGTCTAACTACATTTTCCAAGGAGACCAAAATCAAATTAGAGAATGAAATGATTCCTGACGTCTAAACATTGGAGTCTGAAAATGCTACAAGGCAGGATCTTAATGACGTTGTATCAGCCCTCTGTGTGTGTGTGTGTTTGCAATTTAAAAGACATTGAATTTTAGACAACAGAAAATATAGTAGTTATAGGTGCTTTTAATTTTCTCCCAATAAATTATTTAATAAAATAAAAATAAATCAAAAAATTAAAAAAAGTGAAAGAGGGAGTCAGAGATAGCTTAAAACCTGGGTGAACTGGGAGCAGACCCCCTAAAGCAGCTGGTAAGTGGGGGGGCAAACAGGCAGTGGAGCTCAGTAGCGTGGTGGGACAGCCAGGCTGATGCCAGTGGCAGATTGGGAACAGAGTTCAAGTGTCTTTGTCTGTTGGTCAACTGAATGCAAAACTGTCAAATGAAACATTGGTGACTTCAAGAGTCAATATGACACAGTGAAAATGGGTTTGATAAGAGGACGAAGTCTGAAGGAAATCACGGTTAATATGTGGTAGGTAACATTAGAGGGAAGAGGCCCTCATAGCCAAGTATTTCCCACTGTGTTAATATCAGGAATAACTTCACTCACTCTTTGCCAAATGATTTTAGACCATCTGTAAAAGACAAGTGAAATAAGAGAAAAATTAACCTCATAAAATCCTATCTATCTTTATGAAGAACTAGAGAATGTCTAAAATTGAGTAGATGCTATGACAAGAATGAATTGATCACAGCCTGGGTCACATGGTGAAACCCCGTCTCTACAAAAAATACAAAAATTAGCTGAGTGTGGTGGTGTGTGCCTGAAGTCCCAACTACTGGAGAGGCTGAGGTGGGAGAATTGCTTGAGCCTGGGAGGTTGAGGCTGCAGTGAGCCATGATTGTGTCACTGCCCTCTAGCTTGAGTGACATAGTAAGACTTTGTCTCAAGAAAAAAAAAAAAAAGAAAGAATAAATTGCTCATTGCTTATAATTAAGTAAAATATTTGCTTTTGCTCAACTTTATTGAATATCATTAGATTTATAGCAATCATCAAAGAATTTGATACCAGAGCCCCACCCACCAAAAAAAAAAAAAAAAGTCAGTGCAAAAGATTTGAGTAAAGGAAGTTTGTCAAGGCAAATGTGTAAAAGAATACATGTGTACATCACTCTTTAAATGCTTTTCCTGAGTATTCTGTGAAGTCTGGGGATCTTTGAATGCTATTAATCTGAGACAGTAAATGTTATAAAGGAACTCTTTAAAAGTAGAAGGACCTAATTCTCTTCCACAGTGAGTTTTTAAGCAGAGGATATCTACTACGTGGATTCCTTTGCCTCTTGACAGGCTGAGGTTCATCCGTCTCCCAGGGAGCTTTTTGAGTCTCTTATGGAAGCCTACTTTTCTTAGCACGTAAAATGATTGAAATATATGCCATAATTTTCTTCTTAATTCAAGCCACATGTTCAAATTTGAGGCTTAAATTCTCATCGCATTATTTTCTAAGAAATTTTTAACATTACACAAGTATTTTTATCAAAATTACCCTATATTATTGACAACTGAATGACTACTTTCAAAAAAACTTTCCTCCCTAATGGATAAGAATGCAAACTCCAAGTACATAGGGTGCTGTGAGTAAAGAAGCTTGAGTCTGCCCCGTCAGTTTCTAAAGGTTATTTTTACATATAGTCTCATGGTCATTTGCATGGGGAAGTTCTTTTTCCTGGAAAAGATTCAACTAAGCGCAAAAGTAAAATCCAGAGCAGGGATAAGGGAAGAATGCAGATGTTCTTAGCGGAAATATCACCATCGGGGAATCTTCTCTTAAACACTGGAAGTGGTAGAGTTGGAATCCTTTTTTCTGTGAAGCAGAAACAAAAACAAAATTGTCATATTTAGAGAAACACAGGAAACTGTGGCTTTGTCTGGAGATACCAGGTAAGGACTGTCATGCATACCGGCTTCTAATTTAGTTTACTGAGCTGCTGGAATGAGCTACCCCTACTCCATCTGACAAGCAATAATGATGGAAAACAGCCATTTGTTTTAGTGAGAGACTGTGTTAAAGAAAAACTTTTCTTCCTGGGTCTGCGAGGGGCGTAGTTTCAAAGGCAGGAGTTTCTCAGCTCCGGCTCCATCGGAAACATAAAAGAAGTTCTTTGTCTGGGTTGCCTGCGCTGGGGCTAGGCAGAGAAACCCAGATGGGCTCCTTTGTCCAAAAAGCCCACGGAAAGCTCTGGGAGGAGGGGGCTCTGCTTGGACCAAGTAGCCAATCTGGTATCAGAGTCAAAGATGAATCACTCCAGAGGAAGTTTGAAAGAACTCCTCTCATTGGACGAGAACATGAATGGGGAGGGAATAACTCAAGGGTTAAAAATCCTGCTGCTCCCTCCCTGTACGGATTCCTTCTCTGGATCCCCTCCCACAGCAGCATGGGAGCAGTCTTTCTCTCCCTCTCTCTAATAAAGCACTTTCCGCAAAACTCTTTGGGTCCATGATATTTATTTGAATGGCAAACTCACTGTACCTCCGGCCAGTTTCCCCATTCTTGGGGTTATTAACAGGTAAAAGCCAAGAACCTTTTCCAACTGGGATGGAGCTGGGAGCGTCTTTGTGATGCCCCTCCCCAAGTTACATTAGGAGCTCCTCATAAGTTCACACTGGTTCCCTATTTTGACTGCCCAGGAAAGGGAAACTCTTCAGTACAAGTTGGAATCTGAAAGCCCTTGTTATGCCTGACTTACTTTTTCAACATTTCCATTATTTTTTGTATCCATTCAGCTTGAGTGTTCAGGCACACAACTGACTTGTTCTTCTTCCAGATTCTGGGGGAAAATAAAAATTAAATAACACAGTGTCATATTTTAGTCGATCCTATGCTTAATAAAGAAAAGAGTTGGGTATGAAAATATTTATTCCTAGATGGAGTGAAATTGGAGCTACGCAGTTTTGGATCTGGAATAGGTGATTTGCAGCATGGGGTCAGAGGAGTAAGAAAACAAGCATTTGTGGACCAGCATGTGTGAGCTGATGGGGTTGAATCCAAAGCTAAGAGAGCCTCACATGTCAGAGGTTAGTGTTTTGTTGATAACCTTTACGTGTGTTGGAGAACAACCAAATGGTTGACTCCAAGATTGGCTCACTTCTGAAGTTATATCACAATATCTTTAGAATGTGCTTATCTGTTGCATTGCATTTGGGAGAACAGAATAAGCTATAGAAAACACTCTCTTGAGAACCTGAATTTCACTGGAAAAAAAAAAATCAGTGCAATTTCACACAGGGGGCATGCTGCAGAGCAGATTGCTTGGAGTGACATCTGCATTTTGTCAAATTACCACTAAGATTTTTCCTGCTCTAAGATATTAAGCAATAGCAAAAGTGGCAATGATAGTTAATAGTTAATATTTATCAAGTACTTATAACACACCAGGCACTATGCTTAGCAGGTAACATGGATTATTTCAATTCATTTTTCAAAAATCCTTTGCTGGAGAAACTATTATTTTCTTACCTTCTGATGATGAACTTAAGGCTTACAGAATTTAAATAACTTGTTCAAGATTGTATATCAAGATTGTATATTGTATATATCACAACAAATACATGATACAGCAGGATTCAGAACCCACATTTTTAGTTACTGTTTTTCATGAGCAGGACCTGAGTGGTTACTAAGTGCTAGACATAGTGTTAAATGCTTTATCTGCAGTGGAAAAGTGAGGTCTCTTAGGCAGCAGAAAACTGGGAGACTCCTACCGTCTATTGGTGTGAACTCAAACAAAACACAATTTCCTGATATATCATTTATCTTAGCTATAAAATGACGAACAGCCACCGTCATGTTAGCTCATGCCTGTAATTCCACACTTTGGGAGGGTGAGGTGGGTGGATTTCTTGAGACCAGGAGTTCAAGACTAGCCCGGGCAACTTAATGAGACCCCCTCTCTACAAAAATAAAAAAACTAGCTGGGCATGGTGGTGTGTACCTGTAGTCCCAGCTACTCAGGAGGCTGAGGAGGGAGACTTGTTTGAACCCAGGAGGTTGAGGCTGCTGTGAGCCATGATTGTGCCACTACACTCCAGCAGCAGAGAGATTCTGTCTCAAAAAAAGAAAAGAAAAGAAAAGAAAAATACAACAAACAAAAAAAACCCCAAAACCCCAAACAAAACAAAAAAGACAAACAGCAAGAATCCATCCAATTAACTTTGAAACTCCGCCTTTGCAAGCGAATCTTGGAGAGATGAGAGGGTATGAAACAGGTGGGTTTTCAGGAATACATTTCCAATTAGGTTTCTGAGTTCATGATGGAATAATAACACACCAGGCATTTCTGACCCTCTGGACTCACAGTATTTTCACCTCTGACTGGCATGAATTTCTCATAATAATTTGAAACTTTCATTTCTCTATCTGGCTAAAATTCAGAAATGCAGAATTTGATGAAAAGATGTGAAATCAGATTTTAGTCATTTCAAAACAATCAAAGTGAAAGCAGAGAAAATTAAGGTGCATTACCTTCCTTGATTGAGAGGCAAGAGACTTGAGCCATGACAGAGGAAATGGAATTAAAAGAAAGGGGTCCCAGTTTTCTAAACAGCCGAGGAACTGCTCCCAAATAGGTCATAGCTAGACCTCACATCTCTAAGTTTGAGGGCAATAATTGTAGTGTAGTTAGAACTTTTATTGTTAATGACATTAGTGAAATGCCTTTTTAGTGAAACATACAATGCCTTTTTAGTGAAAAATTTCCATATGCACTTTTGATATCCCATGTTTCAACTGGTCCAAGTCCCCAAGCACTGGTAACAAAATGTGACAAACAAAAAGTAGCTGCTCACAAACACTGCAAAAATCTAAAGAAGTCCATGGGAAGAGATACTAATGAATGCCAAGTCAGGGATGCCCTGTGAAAGATGCTGTGCCTAATACTTCAAGGTGCTGTGAACAAGAGGCTTTGGAATGGGGAAAATGTGAGTGTGGTCCTGGCTTTCTAACCCTTTCTGATGGTATGTCTCAAGCAGTTAGTTAACCTTCCTAAGCCTCAGCTGAGATGGGATTCCCACCGCTGCAGAAGTCTTACCTGCAGACCCTGACTCAACGACAGAGGAATGAATGTACTCTCTCACCATTACAGTGTTTCAAGTGGGCTAGGGCTGGCCATCGCAGCTTTCAGAGGGCGAAATGCAACCAATCGACCTAGACCCTCTGTCTGTCCACACTTTTATTCATAACAGAGGTTCTAAGTTAACACACTTGTAGGTAATCAACATGGTTAAGAGAATGAAGAGAATGGTTTTATGACTGACAAAGGCTTTAGGTTTTGGGGCCCAGAGTAATTGCTATTAACAGGCGATTCCCCGTTGATCTTCTTGGGAGAGGAGAAAGATCAAAGTGGAATTTGCCAGCACAAAATTAACATGCGTAAACAGAGTGGAGAGACATGAGTATGGGGTAAGGCCTTTGATTATCTCTATCTCTCCCTAACTTAATGGACTGGCTGGCCACCTTTGGCCTGCCCAATAAAACCTTTTGGACTTCCAAAAGGTTTGAGACTAAACTATAACTTTCCCTACTATATCTTCAATATTTTCTGTAATATTTCGCCAACCACCCCGAGTGAATCTCAACACTCAGCATGTAAGGAACAATAAACTTGCCTTAATAAAGTGGTTGAATAAATAAGATGAGTATGTGCATGTGAAGCACTTAGCTCAGGGCTGCTGCAAAGTAAGCTCCAATTCTCATTATTAGTTTGATAATTTTTAGCAACACTAAAGTAAATCTCTTTGACATTCTTGAGTAAGACTAATGTATGGTAACATTTGATCAAATTTCATTGGGAAAAAGAAATTGTATTTATTTATTTATTTATTTTTGAAACTTACATGATTTCTTTCCTTGGACAACCATGCCCACGGGGAAAGATTTGAATTCGATCAATGAGGCGTGGGGGGATAATGGCTGAGGTCTCTTGGACACATTTACACCTCAAGTTTGTGTTATGGACCTCCAGAACACCTGTAAACACAGAATCAGTTATTTTAATCCATTGGCATGTAATTCATAACTAGAATTTAATTTAGTAATTAAACTTTCATACTGTACGTTTGAAGATTTAAAAGTTCTAAGTCAGTGCTTCCACTCATATGCCTTTTGTTTGTATATTTCTGCTTGTCCTGGCTTGAGTATTTTCAAATGTTTTCTACCAAAACATTAAAAATAAAATTAGCTTTTAGACCAGGCATGGCCGTTTATACCTGTAATCCCAGCACTTTGGGAGGCCAAGGTGGGAGGATTACTTGAGCCCAGGAGTTTGAGACCAGCTTGAGCAAGAAAGGGAGACCCCATCTCAAAAAACAAACAAATAAAGCAAAACAAAACAAAAATTCGCTTTTAAAAAAACACAGCACTTTTTGAAATTTGTGATAGCATTATCTTTGTACTCAGGTGATTGTCCACATAATAAAATTTGAGAACAGCCTCTGTAGGGACTTACATACAACTCAGTTATAATTAATGCAATATAAAATCAATGGATCATCTTCCCTCCCAACACATAGAAACCGAGCACATGACCTGGCTCTAAAGTCCTGGGAGCAATAACATGCTGGAACAGAGTTTTCTCTATCAGACTCTCTGCCATCCTCCCCTTCCCTCTCAGAAAATGCCACAGATATTTTTGTTGAATATGTTGGCCCCTCCATCTGGGTTACAAATTATTACCAAACAAAAGACAATCATAAAAATGCAAAACTCTTTTAATTTAACAAAAGTGATTAATACTGGATGGGTACCATGAGTACCCATCTCATGAGTTTTAACAGAATCTAATGAAATCTAAGCAAACATTTATCAGATATTTTCTCTCCAGCCTACTATAGTGCTTGACATGCATTTACAAATAAAAAGGCTCAACTCTTAAGATGTGTACAGTTTAGTAGGGGAAACAAGCAAACAAAAACTAAAATGCTACGGAAGGTTGTATTGCATGCAACATCTGACCTGCGCACTAAGAACAAAGGATGTACTAAAAGCTGCCTCTGCCAGGAGCCCTGGGAAAGCCTCATGGAGGATGCAAGAAGTTAGAGTCTTGAAGAGTGAAAATAACATGTGAAGCAAAATTAAAACTGGGGGAGAAACCCTCTGTGTTTTAATAACAAAAACCTGGTCTTCTAAACCTGAACAGAAGCCTTCTTTTTGTACATGTATCCATTCCTACAACCACATACAAACTTACTACTTCAACTAGATATTTATCTACTTACACAAAGATAGCCGCCCACTTAGCCTTGGAAGTCTGCTTCTTTGCAAAATGTGTGTAAATACCCCTGGTGTACTGACAATGGTGTACCTGACATCAGATCTAACCATTTGGAATTGGATGAAGCATGTTCACTGCAAGAGACCAGTAGAGTTTAATAATCTTTAAATCCTATATAGGGATTGGTCAGAGTGGGTAACTTTGAGAGGCAGAACAAAGAAGAGCTACATGTAAAGAATTATGTATAGCAGGAGCTGAATCTGAAAAAGGCCAGGAATATATAAGCCAGTATAATTTGCATGGATATTGGACTTCCGGTATCTCTTTTTCCTATGAATAAAAATCTGATAAATATTTCCAGTTTTGAAGAGTTAAATTCCTAAACACCTTACTTTGAGAAATCTAGAAGCAACAGAGCAGTCTTTCCCTCCCTTTAGTTGGACTTCCCTGCAATTTGTAATTGAAAGAAAATTGAAGTGGTTAAAGACTATTTCTGTTCAACAAACAGTAAAACATAAGTGAAAGTTCTCACCTTGAACTGGGGAAAGGCTGCTGACCAGCAGCATGAGAAGCAGAGATGCCAAGATGAAATTCATTCTGTCTGGAGGTAGAGTTCAGACTTGAGCTCTGAGTCCAGGCTGTGGGTTTGCAGTACCAGAGACTCCTGTTTATTTATACCAGTAAGGGCCCTCCCACTGCCTTTGTCTCCAGTAGGTCAGCTGCATCATCAGTTTTAAAAGCCCCCAAATATTGCTGAGCTTGCTTTTTAAAAAACTTCTCTTGCAAACTTTATAGATTTGTTTCAGAGCACTATAATAAAATATTTCTTGAAAACGTGAACTCTAAGTGCCAGAGATGCTGGAGAAATCTGAGGGTGGGGAGAAAGGAAAATCTATCAGTTTGGAAGCTCCGAGGCACTGTCTTTAGCAGCGCTATTGGTGATGGTGGCTTTGATTGCTTCTCTCAGTGCAGGGTGAGCCAGGTTTCTCAGTGGCATTCGATATGTACTCCACGACACTGGGGACTCCATCGAGCACATCACATCCATAGCATCTGGAAGGGATTCCAGCCTTCGGTAGGTGCTCAGTAAATATTTGCACACCAAATGAATGTCTCTTTATATAAAGATCCTAATGCTGATTATGCTATTGATTATCCTACCAGTCGTTTCCATCTCTTATTTTACTATCTGGAATATATGATTACTTATATAATCTGACCATCACGGAATTCTTAGAGGGGGCAGTTGGTGTTCCCTCCTTTGTGTGCCTGCGTCTGCATGCAGGGAGGAAGACAACAGCCTTAAGGAAGAAAATCTCTCTGGCTGTCATGTGCAAGTCCATGAGCTTGAGAACTATGTGGCGGGGGAGGGAGTCATTAGAACTATAATAGAGGCTGAACTCCATATTACAATCCGTTCGACATAAGCATATGTGAAATTTGGTATTGATCCCACCATCTAGTCCATGGGGACAATCAGCTCACAGCCTATTTCATTTTCTGGGAGCTCTTTGATTAAAAGTAGATCGACAGTGGCTAGTCTAGATACTGGCCTAGAGTACCACTAAATTGTGCTGGAAGTAGACAAGGATGATGTATCAAACCAAACCCACTGAACTGCTAAGAAATCAGAGGTCTGGGCTTCTTGGCATGATTTCCTGAATAATTTGTTTTTTTGCTAATCAGTTGGCATTGTGAATGTCTAGCATCCCAGGTGCTCCAGTACGTATGGGGGTGAAGGCGGAGGAGTGGGAATGCCACACAATGGTCACACAAACGCAGTTCTCCAGGCGTCCTGAACACAGTGATAGGGCTCTCATCCATCTTGAGGCAGCCCATTCTACTGTTTGGCCATTCTAGTGGTTAGGAATTTCTTCCTTATACATATGTGAAAGCTGCTTCCCTAGTAGTTTGCTTATGCTTGTGTTGTGATAAGGGGTTGAATTAGGACAAAATTCAACCCCTAATCACAACACAAAACAATTCTAAACACTCTCGTATGAGATGACAATCCAAATATATGAAGGTAGGATGTGTTAGACGCGTCCTCTGCAAAGCAGATGCTGAGATAGACATTGGAATAAAAGAAAGTTATTCAGAACAACTCCTGTGATAGAAGGAGGAAAGAGGCAGAATCGGGCAGAGGGAGCCTCAGATTGCAATGCTGATTTGACAAAGTCTACAACAACTCACTGGGAGCTCCAGTGAAAAGACTGTTTATTAGAGGGGTCCACAGTGGGCAGAAATGTCTGTACTCTGCTACCCCTGCCATGCTCGGTCCTTAGCTGGGCGTCTTCAGAAACAGCACGGTCTCTGGTTGAAAGCTGAAGCAGAGCCTGAGGAAGTTATCAGTGGAGGCTGTCAGCTAACTGCACTCCTTGCCACTGGCCAGCAAGTTATTTCTTTAAGGGAGAGTTGAGTAGGGTACCTCTGAGTGTCACTCAGGGTTATAAACTAGAGGTTAACAGCACAAAGTGTGAGCTCACGCTGGCAATGACTTTGGACGGGTCACTAATTTCTCTATGCCTCATATTTACCACTTTCCACATGAGGATAATATAAAAATATGAATTCCAAAGGATCGTTCAGAGAATGAAAGCTTATATGTAGAGTGTTCAGCTGAGTACTGGCATGTAGAATGTATTCAATAAATAGCCTGCCTGTCTGTCTAACTACCTAATCTGCTCAGGAAAAAAAAAGCTGCTTCATTGCTTGTAGATATCTCAACATAAGGTGTTTAGGAATTTAACTTTTCAATCCATCCATCCATCCATCCATCCACCCATAAAAGATCTTACTAACTTCTACTCCAAAACTCACTTCAAAAATAAATATCCCTATTTCTTTGAATTTATAAGTTTGAAACTCACTCACCATCTTGGTTTACCTTTTTGAAACCTGTTGATCTTTTCCATTTTTCCTTATAAATTATAACTACCTTCCCTTTTGCTTCCCCGTCACCGTCTCTGACTCACAGCTACAGACATGCATATACTTACATGCACACATCTGAACATTATACTACCCCAAGTATGGCTTTGTGAATACAAGCTAGAGGAAGTCCATTACGTCCTTTGTCTTAGCACTATTCTTCTATTAATACATTCCTAGACTGAATAACATTATTCTAGTCACTTATATTGAGTGGGTAAGCAATAACATTCCTGTTTTTGAAAACGGTCAATTTCATAAAATGTCTAATTCATTTTACTCTTGTGTGATATGATCTTGAGACTCATTTTAATTTTACCTCTAAGTACTATGTATTTTCTTGTGAGAGCAAAAAACCAAGAGTGATGCCGACAAGAACTGAGAGAGTGTAGGGACGAAGGTACCTGAAAGAAGGCTCTGAATAAACCTAGGAAACTTGATTTAGATTGGCTGCTATTAAAAATAGTGCCACCAAGTTAAGGAACTAATTCCAGAACAATTCTAAAATCTGATTTTAGTTTCTTTAATGCCCAGAGTTCTGAATTTAGCTTATTTGGATCAAGAAGCCTTATCCATGTCAGCCCCAAGATGGGGCTGGAAGTTGGGCATCTCTCTGATAGCCAGACGATTCTAGAAGTTTCAAGACCAACACTCCATGATACCATCTTATGGTAGGGGTATAAATTTCAAAAACTCTGAAGCCAAGAAAAAAGGTATTTAAACAAATAGATTTAAAACTCAAATGGAAACAATTTGTTTTTAAAATGGCTTTTATAGATACCCTCATTTAGGGTATATATACCTAGAATATATAACTTGGTTACATAGAATATATAACTTGGTTTATAACAAACCTGATTTTATCATCAGATAAAGAAAATGAGAAAATTATGGGGAAGATTTTTTTGTTTCACTTTGGAATCAAATCAGATTTTCTTTCCAGACTCAAGAATAACCGGATAATTTAGTACCTTGGTACTTAAATTGTGATCCAAGGACTGGCATCGTCAACTTCACCCGAGAGCTAGTTTAAAATGTAGAATCTCAGATCCTGCATTCTAACAAGATTCCCAGGTGGTTTGAATGCACAGGCCTGGTCTAACATAAGCTACATAGTTTGCTGTGAGATGCTATTTCTGGATAAATATATTAATCATATTCAAATTATCTTCAGAGATATGTTTGGACAAGTCATTTCCTTAGAAAATGATGCACAGATACAGTAGATATTTTAGTGAAAGTGGACAGGACAAATCCACTCTAGATCACTGACATCTAAGTACAGAGCAGTCACAAGAAGGAAACTCTCAAGATATCAAAAAGCGAACTGTCATTAAAACAATGAGATGGCATAACTGGCCAAAGCATCTGACAATCTAGGTAGTCAACATGTATTGAACAGCGGGTTAACGGTAGAGTTTCACAGTGATTAAAAGAATAAAATCCTTTTACTTTCAAAGTAGTTTGTGGTAGGACATAAGACAAATGTCACTGTGACAAAATTGAGAACATTTTCTCTCATGCCACTCAACTAGAAAATAGAAAGTTACTGTATCCTGCTAACACATGTTTTAACCTGCTGAACATCTGACATCTGTTTGCTTCCACATAACTTTCAGCACAATAGAAAAGTATTATAACCTTGGGGGTGAGATCTCAGGCTCTGAAATCAGACTGGCTGGGTTTGTATCCTGATTTCAACGTTTCTTTGCGTTGATAACTTCCCCAAGCCACTAGTATCAGTAACACCATCTCAGGGGATTGTGTAGGTCACATAACAGTGCTTGGAAAATGCTTTATTCAGTAGTGGGCAAATAGCAAACACTTCAATAAATGTTAGCTGGGTTTTTTTAACCTTTGTGAAAACACAAAAATGTAAAGTACGTAAAAAAGCAACTTTGCTTAGCTTGCAAATGAAGCTCCTGATGTGAATTAAAATGTCACTTAGGTTTCCATTGGGCACATAGGTGATACGTTGAGTTTATGACTAGAGTTCTCTGGTTGAAGAGCTGTTCTTTGACACTGATATCCGCACTTTGTTTTTGCCTACTCTCCTCAGAAGATACTTGTAGAGGTTTGTGTTTCGTACAAATACACTGAAGTTTTACACAGGGGGGTGTTTTTTTTTTGTAATCAGTTACTTTTTCTTTTACTACTTTTAAAACAGCTTACTGAGGAATAATTGATATAAAAAGAACTCACATATTCATTGTGTGCAATTGGATGAGTCTGGACAATGCAAACCCTGTGCCTTTTGCCATCATTTTCATCTTGAGCGAGCTGCTTTCAACAACCTATTTTTTGTCACACCTTGATTTCAAGACCTATACCTGCAGAAAGGCATTTTTCAAAGGTAATTTAATTCAAACCCAACTTAAATACAGGGAATCCCATACAAACCTCAAACGTGTACCGAAAGCTGTAACCTCTTAGGGTGGTGATTCCCCAAGAGACTGCTAGGTGGCAGCATTACTTTCAGAAACAGTTTGCTGAAAGGGAAAGGTCTATCCTCAGGTAAAGGAAACCCTGCCTGTGTGTTGATCAGAAGGGCTGTGTTGCATTATTTCAACATTCAAATCATTTATTTGATTTGGCTTATTGCTTTAAAAATATTGTGAGATTTGAGATTTTTGATTAGGCTGAAACATTAATAAAGGAGGGGAGAAAAAACCCCTAAAAATCTGAAATAATCCAACAAA